CTGTAAGTTTCTTTGTTCATATATTTGTTATCTGTTTCTTCAGAGCATGCTGGGGAAATGTATAAGTTCCTCAAACATGAAAGAAAAGGTTCTATAGCCCATTCCAGATCAGTCTTTGTCTAATAACCCTGATAAAAGTTTAAATTCAAAGCTCCCAAGCAAACATTTCAGAAAGACCCTCTTTTTAATATTTAAGTGCCCCACGTTCGCAAAACAAACATAATGACCCAAAATACATTTACATGGAAAAGGTGAAGACTGTAATTCTGAGCTTCCTCCTCCCCCACCCCCAAATGCAGGAGGAGTTATTTTTTGGAAATATTTTTCCCCTTTGGTGAGGCTAAAATTCAGGAGTGAGCCTTTCCAGAGACCAATTAAAACACTATAAAGGAAAAATTATCTAACATTTGTTAAAAATATAAGGACAACTTTATTCAGGACTATTGCAATGGGGTCGAGACTATCACAATAGAAGAGATTGAAAACTCTAAATATAGCTGAGACAGCAATGGATTTATAGGCAATGAAGAGAGTGAGGGGATCAGTAGATGGAAAATTACTGAGAGGAACTTGATTAGATAACAAGACTAGAGGGATTCTTGTAAACTAGCTTACCAGGATTCTTGTTACAGTTAGGCCAGATATCAAGGGTGGGAGATAGGGAACTTGATCAGATATGGCAGGGACAAGGGTGCAAAGAGCAGGGCAGGGGGATTCTCCAGAAACTAAGCAGATTTCTTTGCTAAAACTGGGCTCAACAGGCTAAGTTGATGCCTAGTTGAGAAAAGGAGTAGGAGAAGTCTAAAGTTTGGTCAAGAAGGGAGCCTTTGTCAACACATAAAGGAAATAAAGTTGGTTCATTGTTATCATGACTTTACTTATGCATATTTGGGGTCTATAAAAGACATATGATTGTCTTGTGGAGGAGGTTTGGAGAAGTAAGTTCTCTTCTACACGTATCTGTAAAAAGGACCCCGAAGAATTAATGAGGATTGAAAAATAACATAAAGATATGGAGGTGAGAATGAGCTTAGCATATATATATATATATATATATGAAAGCAAGGGCTACAGTCAGACTGAAATGAAAAGTGTTTGTTGCAGAGTGGTGGAAATATAGCTGGAAAACAGCAGAAGTAGATTAGAGAAAGCCTGGATAAATCAGAATTTAGACGATATTTAGTCAGTGATGAGAGTTGTAGTTAAAGCCTAGAAGACGTTATCACTGATTATCATGAGGAAGTTGTAAAGAGGAGCTTATTTTGGAGAAGAGATAATATGTTCAGTTTGACATGTTGAGTTTGAGGTGATGACGGCATAATACATAAATAAAAGTCCTGACATAGTATCAGTCTGGTATGAGAATAATTCATGGCTAATGATGAAAACTTAAGATGCATCAACATGTGTTAACCGCTAAATTCCTAACCTTGATTGACCACTATATACACCCTGCATCTTTCTACACTTGTTTGATAGTAACAGCTATCTTTAATTGAGCACCTATCATGTGCTAAATGCTCTACTTTTTTGTTATTGTTGTTACTGACGATCCACATTTGATATATGAGGAAATCAACCCTTGAGGTTATTAAAAAGTCTCAGCAAAGGCCAAATGGATAGCAAAGGTAGAACTGGAATTCAAAGAAAGGTCTGTTAGGATGATGTGAACTGGAACCCACTCTCTTTTCATTCTCTCACTCTACCTCCCCTCAGTGCCCACCTCCCCTGCCACCTAGAATCCTTTCTCCTATCACTGTATGTCTAAATTCTACTTGCTATTTAAGATTCACTTCAAATGAAACTCATCCATGAGAAATGCTGTGAGAGTTTGACCAAGTCCCACCCCTGAACTCTTATACACATTTATGTACACATTCATGGCAGTCATCCGTCTCTACCCAGCACTGTAGTTATGTATGTACTTTCCTTAGCCCCCTCTAGTTCTTTGAGGTCAGAGTCTATGCAGGACTTTTCTATTTGTCTTACAAACATTACATGTTACAGGCATAAAATGGTTTATGAATGGATGAAAGGCAACTGAATTCATGAGAATTACAGAATAAGTTTAGAGAGAGATAAGCAATGGGCTGATGACCATTTCCTGCCAATGTCCAGCAACAAATTTTGGCTATTAGTGAAAGAGCAAGAAAGAAAAAGGGGGCTTCCCTGGTGGCGCAGTGGTTAAGAATCCGCCTGCCAATGCAGGGGACACGGGTTCAAGCCCTGATCCGGGAAGATCCCACATGCTGCAGAGCAGCTAACCCTGTGCATCACAACTACTGAGCCTGCACTCTAGAGCCCGAGAGGCACAACTACTAAGCCCACGTGCCACAACTACTGAAGCCCATGCGCCCCAGAGCCCATGCTCTGTAACAAGAAAAGCCACCACAATGAGAAGCCTGCGCACCACAAGGAAGAGTAGCCCCCGCTCGCTGCAACTAGAGAAAGCCTGCGCACAGCAACAAAGACCCAATGCAGCCAAAAATAAAATAAATAAATAAAATAAATAAGTAAAAAAAAAAAAAGAAAAGAAAAAAGGAAGGAAAAGAGAGGAGAGATGAAGAAAGGAAAGGAGGGGAAAGAAAGGGAAAGTAGGAGAAGGGAAGGAAAAAAATAAACTTAACAGCAAGGGAAGGGAAGAGAAGACACTTCCAGAGATGCTTATAACTAGAGAGAGATGAATAAATTAAAAAGATGAAAAATGGTCGGAGGGAAAAATGATAGTGGGGTGCTGCAGCTCTTAGCCTTCTTTTTGACTCTAACATGTATCAAGAATGAATACGAGTATCCGTGAGGCCATGTTACAGTACCCACCTCTCCCATTCTTCAGGGTTGCGGAAGGACTCCCTGATGAGAGGATTGAAGATGTGAAGATAGGAGGTTTTCCTATATAGAGTGTAAGTGGGATCCATCATGATGAGTCCCAGAGGAAAAGAAACATATGGGATGACTTGGAGCTATTTTCTTAAGCTCAAGTGGTAGGTGAGTTTCTATATTATATGGCTTAATTCACCAGAGTGGAGAAACATCTAGAGAGACAGTGGTCCTCTTCTTTCAGCCCAAACATGTGTAAAAGCCATAATTCATTTGTTTAGATTCTTATGGTAAGGTAATTTACTAAAATCTTGATCTTAGGAGATAATCTGAATTTCTCTAAGGTCAGTATACTGACTCCTACCAGAGGACACAGCTGGGGAACTGGAGAGGGCGTATGATCTGGAATCTGAACATGGGCTCAAGTCCTGACTCTAGGGTGTGTCCTCTGGCAAGTCACTTAATTCTTTTGAGTCTTCATTCTTTATTTGTCATATGGAAATAAAAATAAGGCCTGTTGTTTATTTCTTTATTCACTCAAGACAGATTGATTGAGTATACTCTACACTATATATTAGGCACTGGATTTGTTGGGGCCGGGATTACTGAAGACAGAATTGAGATATGTATGAAAACCTTCTGCAAAATGCAAAGCACTGTCAAGTGCCAGTTAACAGTCACTATAAAGATGGTCGTGGTACTATGTCCCAGTCTTAAGAAATAAACATATTTAACATTAGACCTAGCATCTTCCTCCTGAAACTGCAGTTGGCTGTGGTTTATCTAATCCTTTGTAAATGATTTTTCCTTAAATTCTTACCAGTGATAGAGAGATGATTATTTGACTTATAATTCAAATATGATTTGCTTGGGAAAAACAGTATCCAGAATTTGTCTTAATAATAAATAGTTGTTTAAAACTCTACGAAAGTAGGAATACGAACTGTAGGCACATTTAAAGGAAGCCAAGGATAGTCTTTTAACTTTAAAAGGATGACTCTGTGGCAAGTGATTGCCCAAGGTATAATGAGTTCAACAAGCTCATTCTTGTGTGATTTCTAAAGCCAACTTCATATTTGAATAGTGAAAGGGATCCTTTCCGGTAAACTGAATTTTCTGGGTGGACATGATGCAAATGACAACCTATCTTGACTTAAACAGGTTTTTAAGGTACAGAAAATATTAGCAATTGAAATTACTGGTCGAAAGTTGCAATACTTCAGCAAAACATATTTATAAATTATTTATAATAACTTGGGGCAAGTGAAAAATTTATGGAAGTTCCTATAGTCACAAAAAGTAATAGCAATAATTACATATTTTGGCCTTAAAAGTGGTACTTTAATAATCATAAGTAGATTAATAGTAAGAAAAATTTGAATGTTGTATTAAACTAAAAGCTTTCTATTCATTAGGTGTACCAAACATAAATATTTTAATTTTATCTTAATGGAGATGACATTATTATTATTATTACTATTATTATTATCATTATCATCATCATTATTTTAGTGCTTTACTGGTTCTCTCTAGAGCCTAATCATTAGGGCATATACTTAAGAACTGTAGTTCCTAGAACTCGGTAGCCTATTCCATTGACTCAGAAAAATAATAAATGGAAGAATGACATAAATGTAAATCTTATGCTCTTAAAAACAATTATTTTTACAGAAATTGAAATAGTAAAACTAAGTAGCAAAAACCAAAATGGAATATTAAACCTTTATTTTTACACACATTTAATTGTTCTCTCCTGCCCATAAATTACAAAATATCTTGATTTGCAGTGGAACCCAATCTGTACTGAAAAGTAGTGTAACTGACTGCAGCTTCAGGGATATTTCTTTTACGAACAGGTTAAGATGTTTCCGACTTTGGAAATATCAAAACTCCCCTTTCTTGGAATCATTTATAGGTCACTATCAACTTTGTAGCTGGGATAATTCTGTTCACACCAAGGGGGCTTTTCCTGAATTCAGATTCTTTTTTGTTGTTTTCAGTATGTTTACAGACACGATTATGCCCACAGGTAACAGGAAACCAGTGTTTCAAAAGAAAATTTGATCACACTGCTAGATAACACAGGTATCCTAAACAAGTACAGGAATGCCTCAAGGCTTCAAGCTGCTGCCAGAAAGACATATTTTTTTGATTGGTAAGAACTGCCAGATGACGCTTCATGAAATATAAATGCAAGAAAGCCTCCGAGAGAGCTCAATAAAAGCCTTCCACCCGTCATTCTAGGAGGATAAGAGCAAGATACTGTTAACAAGTGCAGGAAATGGCTTTCGGAGTTTCAATATCAGTCTATATCTTATTCAACGGTAGGTCATTTCTTTTTGCTGTGTTAATTTTGTGTCATTGTAAAATGTGAATAGGATTTGTTTTATCTGAATTAGTGAGGAGTTGGCTTTTAGCAGTTGTTCTTCATGACAAAGATCCAAGCAAGGAATTTGTGAATTAATTTAGTTTCTTATGTAATGTATGTTCCTCTTTTAACATATTTTGACACCTCCTTTTCTGAGATCTTTATATTGTTTGTTCTATACAATTGAAGAGTAGTTGATACATATGATATGATAGTGTCCTTGTGATTGAATGAGTTTATAAAATGTAATAAAATTTATCTTATGAGTTTATAAAATTTATTTCCTCTTAATAATTAATGTGTTTCTACTTTCTCTAACTATAATGTAGTGAGTGGAATTGATATGCAAGAGAAACTATCAAGAAACTGCCCTTGTCAGGTTATGGATTTCAAATGTAAATGAATTAAAAATAGAACAGATGTGGGACTAGATAGAATAACTTTTGATCTGTTGCTGGTATGTAGAAGGAGGCTCACCTGCTAAAGATGCCTTCCCTCCCCCCCCTTCACACAGCTGTGACAGCATTGACTGAAGAGGCAGCCAGGACTGTAACACCCCCAATCACAACCCAGGAAAGTGACTGGACCATTAACAAAACAGAAGGTATTTTCTTCACACTTTTGTATTTCAAGTGACTTTTTTTTTTTAAGTGACTTTTTTTTTAATGTTTGAGAGAAATTTGGATTGTGATAAAAGCAACACTGGAAATTTTTAAATATATATTTTATTATTAGACGATGTTTTATCAGGATGCTGTTAAATGGAAGTGACGGGTAAATGTGTCAGCAAAGAATTCTCTTTTTAAAAGGAGGAAGTGAAGCAAATGAGAAAACGTTGTTTTCAGTTACTGTCCTGGATGTGAAACATGCCACCCTTTCTGCTTGATTCCTGCTGGATTCCCAATAACCCATGTGCTTCCAGAGGCAGTTTGTCCCTATTTTGGCATTCTTGATGAGTGACGTTATAGTTTGATCTGTGACTGTGAGCTTTGCAGCCAAATAAATTATGGTTACCAGATGAAGCCTTAATCCACTTTCCCTCATTTTTGGAAAGATCTTTCTTCTTGTCATTGGGAGCTTTTGTTGTTGCTTTAGTATATGCTATACCTCCCAACCACTTGTATCCAATTTTTGTTGTTGATGGTGATGATATATTTTATTATTGTTATTAAAATAGCTTCTGGCCACTGTTGAGCATCAGCATTTTCCCAAACTCTTTGAACTCTTAGAGGTGACCTTGGGAAACTTACCTGCCAAGACCTGTGTATCAGGTGGTTGTGATTCTCACACAAATCACATACCACCCCCTGATGTGAAGATGGGCTTTGTGACTTAGGACCAAAGAAACACCATATCTTGCTCTCAGAGCCACGCAAGTAAAAGAAGATCAAGTTAAATATTTTGTTTCTGAATATGAAAGGTAGTAATATTTAAGTATTCTTCATTTCACCAATAATTTTTTTTTTTTTTTTTTTTTTTTTTTTT